CACACACACACACACCCCCCACCCCCACCACACACACGACCCCCACCCACCACACACACACAGGTGTGACGCAACGTAGGCAAACACCACACCTATAGCAAACCCACCACCCCCACCCTCACCAAAACCCCACCCCCACCCCCACCCCACCACCACCCCCACCCCGTTATCTCGTCAGTAAAGCCGCCGCGACTATTAAGCGAGTTAGTAGCAGTAGCGCCACCTGCGTGCCGACGACGATGCAGAGAGAGCGCCCCCTGGCGGCGCTCGCACACTTACATTGTTTTGAAGAGCTCCCTGTACTCGTCGTCGCCCTTGTTCTCGCTGACTAGAATGTCGAGTTTGTCGATCAACTCGGACTCCACCTGCAAGACATAAACATAAACATAAACAATAACAATAACATAACAAACTAGAGCACTCGGAGAGCACAGACCTCCGCCAAGGCAGCAGAATTATCTCAATGTGAAATTTTTTATTAATTAATTAATTAATTAAGTGGCAAAATTAATTAAATAATTAATTGGATCCGGATTAGTGCGAGCGTGCAGGTGGGGGAGGACTGTGGTTGCCCCTTAGCCTGTGGTTGCGTGTTTGTAAGTCTACAGCCAGCGCACCTAGCGGAAGTGAACTGAAATGTGCATGTTAACAAACCCACAAACCCACAAACACACAAACCAACACTCAAACACACGCCGGTGAAAACATAACCCCCGCCAAGCCCCTGGCAGAGGTAATAACAATAACGTAACAAACAACGCACAGGCATGAGTCGCTGTGGCTGCGCACACACATAGGCTCTGGGTACTACTAATAATTCAAATTTTCGATTTTTATTAAATAGCGATTAATTAATTTTATATTTCTTTAATTTTTTTCTAATTTCTACAAATAAAACCATGAGGTGATAATAGGTGTGAGAGGTAGCGAAGAGGGGATGGGAGCAGAGAAACACGCGCTCAGGAAGAAGAGCAGAGAAACACGCGCATGCGAGGAAAGAGGAACTAGAGGAGGGGAGAAACGCGCACGCATCAGTACCTCCTTGAAGAGCAGAGTAAGAAGAGCAGAGAAACACGCGCATGCGAGGAGAGAGGAAGGGAAGAAGGGGAGAAACGCGCGCTGAGGAAGAAGAGCAGAGTAACGCGCGCATGCGAGGAAAGAGGAAGTAGAGGAGGAGGGGAGAAACGCGCACGCATCAGTACCTCCTTGAAGAGCAGAGGAAGAAGAGCAGAGAAACGCACGCATGCGAGGAGAGAGGAACTAGAGGAGGAGGGGATATACGCGCACGCATCGATACCTCCTTGAAGTTCCCGCGCGCTCTCTGTTCGCAGTCCATCATGTCGAAGAAGATGGGCAGGATGGCCTTGCGAAGCTCCGTCTCCGGAACCAAGGTGACCTCCAGGAATGGTCCGACCATGCCCGGGATGAAGCGGATCTTGTGTTCGCTGAGGTTCGACCACATGTTCCATATCTGGAAGCCCATCAGCACTCGCATGTCGTTGTACCTGCGCAGGTAAAGGTAAAAGTAAAAGTAAAAAGTAAAAGTAAAAGGTAAAGGTAAAGGTACCTGTGCTGTGTAAAGGGGAGTGTACAGGTGTTCAGGTGAGTGTATAGGTAAATGTATAGATAGGTGTACATTGGAATGTACCGGTGTTCAGGTAGAACATACGAGAAGTTTAGGTGATCGAATCATTGAAAAATCCACTACAGGTAATCACCATGTAGACAAGATAGCAGAGCAGGAATCTCACAGTACTGCTGCCAGGGTCTATGTATCCCTGGGTACTGGCGGAACGTACCCTGGTACTATCTAATATGCCGGACCGTATCACGCCTACTCCACTAACGAGTCTAGGGAGTCGCCTACGCCTACTCCCTAACCCTAACCATATCAGATAGTTACCAGGGTACGTTCCGATATATCGAACCGTACCCAGTGTACCCTCCGATAGTACCCTGGGGGACATAGACCCTATGAGCCACTCTAGACATTATATTATTATATCATCTATCGTTATGTGAACCGAGTGTGTTATTACCTCTCGGTCACTTTGTCTCGTTTTTGTTGTGAGAAAGCCTCCATCTGCAAGCAGGGCTGAGTGAGGAATGCCACAGTAGCACTGAAGAACACCGACCATAGCTGTGGAGCAACATACAATATCATGTTATATCACGCTGTAACATGGTGAGCGCAGCTGTGGTGTGACATACAATATCATGTTATATCACGCTGTAACATAGTGAGCGCAGCTGTGGTGTGACATACAATATCATGTTATATCACGCTGTAACATAGTGAGCGCAGCTGTGGAGCGACATACAATATCATGTTATATCATGCTGGAAGAGATACTTTGAGAGACGCGTGAGCAGTTGAGATATCTGTCCACGTAAGATACTGTATACGCTGTATATTTCGCGGTGGTTTAATTTTCGCGAATTTCGCGAACGCGTCCCCGACCGCGAAAATAACCACATGCGAATAACACCGAATAATTCATAATTCACCGAACGCGAAATTAACCACTCGCGAAATTGCCCGTCAAGTCTGAATTCCCGAAAATATCTGTACACGAAAAATATGGCGTATACAGTAACCACGTCTACTTGGACAGTGTCGCGAGGTCAGTCTTTAACTCTCAGGCCGTCGAAACCTAAACCAGTTTACATGGACTTTGCACAATTCGTAGCTAAGCAGTGTTTTTAGAACGCACCATCTCAATGCCGATTCGTTAAAAGCCAACTGTCAATCATGCCAAGCAGATAAATGATCAATTTCAATCAAAATCATCAGATTCAATTTCGGTAACCACGGATATTACATTTCGAAGAATCCTTTTCGAATTAGGAGCCCATATATTTGCAATGGTTGTAAGTTTTTTTTTATCCATGTACACAGATTTCAAATAGGTTTAAATCAGCACTGATAAGCATGGTAGAGAGCTTAGCAGTCGTAGCAGCTGCATGGCAAGATAGAGAGTTTACGGCTGTGAGAGTGGGCGAGTGAAGGAGGGAGAGTGAGAGTGTGCAGAGACGCGGCAGCAACGCATGCGTCACCACGACAACGTGTGACAAAGTGTGACAACGTGTGACAACGTGTGACAACGTGTGACAACGTGTGACAACGTGTGACAACGTGTGACAACGTGTGACAACGTGTGACAACGTGCGACAACGTGTGACAATTTGTATGTGTGACACTAGTGACATCGAGTGGCGAGACACGCACGCACACGGGCACGCGCGCACACACGCACGCGCTATAACACGACATGATGCAGCATCACATAGCATGATACAGGATGATATAACACGCTCACCAGCAGGTTGACCGTGCAGCTCATGCGCTTGTTCCGGTTCTCCTCGCCCTCCATCACGTTGCATCATGATATAACACGACATAACACGACATAGCATGACACGACATGATACAGCATCACATAGCATGATACAGGATGATATAACACGCTCACCAGCAGGTTGACCGTGCAGCTCATGCGCTTGTTGCGGTTCTCCTCGCCCTCCATCACGTTACGATAGTCCAGCAGACGCTCGAGCAAACTCGTCACGGAATTGATGAACTGCGTCCCGTTCTCCTGCCACGCCGGCCGCTCCGACGACACCTTCTCCATCAACCTGCAACACGCACGCACGTCGTCGCTGATAGATGGCGCCACGCATGCCGCACGGGGGGGCGGGAGACGATGGCGTCGCGGGAGAGCGATTTTTCGTTTTTTTCGGTGGTTTTTTGGGGTTCGTGGCGGTTTTTCTCAGGTTTTCTCAAGTATCGCAGGTTTGAAACAAGTGGTGGTGCGATCGCCACTTGTTTTAAACTAGCGGCAGGGATGTAGCACAGGTATGAGTAACACTCGGGGGTGTGTTAAGAGTGTTAAGAGCCACATATCGCGCGATTTCTAGAGCAGTAGACTTTTCTCGAAAAAGATGGCGTTCGAGAAAAAGAAGAAGATTCAAAAAAAGGAATTTTTTAACGAACAAACGAGTCAGATCTAAACAAGAACACGCCATGATAAGAACAACAGACATAAACATGTTTCACGTGTAAAATTCACTGAGAAATACACACGTAGTAAAGAACACAACGATTGACGACACGTAGTAAAACACGAATATAAAATGCGAACGTAAAAATAAAACGACAATCGAATAAAACGACGTAAAATTATAAATATCGGAGAACGATACGAGAAAATACATTGAAATCAAAATTCAAATCAAATCAAATCAAATCAAACAATCTTTTTCTTATAACAAAGGAAGTTACGTAGGAAGAAGTAGATAAAACGCAGATAAAGTTTAAAACATGTGTATCGTTACTGGTGGTGGCGCGACGCCACACACGGCAGAGCCGCTTCGATCGAACATCGATCACAGATGTGCCAAACATGGCCGCCGCTTCACATATCCCAGAGATGCAGAGTTCTCGCGACAAGCGAACGGCCGTGAACAGCACATCACAAGCAAAACGACAAAAAAACTAAATAAACAAAAGGCGTGCAACGAACCAAAGCTTGCCATCTAGCTACGATGCATAACTATAGGCTGCTGGCAACTACTGCTGCCTGTTGCAGTGGGTAGAACACAGAGGGCGCTGCGTGGAGCCACTATCAACACGTGAAAAACCAACGTGACAGAGAACAGAGAGTAGGCACGCGCAGTGGCGCCGCCTGGTGGCTCGTTCTGCAGGCAATCATTCGTCAAGAGAGATGCAAAAACACAAGGACAGCACAGGAGGTGTCTCTGTCGCCACACACAAACCCATACAGTCATGAAGTAAGCAAAGTAGCTGACAAGAGAGAGACAGAGAGAGAGAGAGAGAGAGACCGAGATATAGAGAGCGAGAGAGAGAGAGAGAGATAGAGAGAGAGAGAGAGACCGAGATATGAGACGTGAGGAGCGAAGAGAGAGAGAGAGACGCAGAAGAGAGAACGAAATAGCAGACAGATAGACGCAATGAGAAAGAGACACTAGCAAACAGATGCATTGTCTTTCAAGCTTTCCCCTCTCATATTATTATAGATATATTTGAACATATATTGATTATTGATTCATGATATATTGACATAGGGCTGGTGGGGATGTCTTGAAGCGTGAGTTGTAGTCTGAGTTGGCACTTGGTACCCTTGAGGGTGGTATCTTCGCTACCTTGTCAGCGTATGTTCGGTGGATGGATTGTGGCGTATACATGTAAACCTGAATGTGGATTTGGTGTGTGTACATGTAGTTGCAAGACGTGGATTGTGTGTGTTACATGTACCTTGCATGTGGATTGTGGGTGTACATGCTACTTGAATGTTGGCATTTGTTGTTACATGTAGTTTGAATGTCCGGATTGTGTGCTGCTACATGTAGTTTGAATGTGGATGTCGTGTGCTACATGTAGTTTGAAATTGTTGATTGTGTGTGTACCATGTACCTTGCATGTGGATTGTGCGGTGTACATAGTAGCTTGAATGTGGCATTTGTGCGGTGTACATGTAGTTTGCAAGGTGGCATTGGTTCGTGTACATGTTACCTGTTGAAATGTGGTTGTGTGTGTACATGTATGTTTGAATGTGGATTCGGTGTGTGTTACATGTAGTTTGAATGTGGATTGTGTGTGTTACATGTTAGCTTTGAATGTTGGCATTGTGGTCGTGCTACATTGCTAGTTTGAATGTGGATTCGTGGGTGTACATGTATGTACCTCAGAATAGTGGATTTGTGATGTGTACATTACTTTTGAATGCTTGCATTGTGTGTGTACATGACCTTGAATGTGGATTGTGGGTGTACATGTAGTTTTGAATGTGGATTGTGTGTGTACATGTACCTTGAATGTGCGATGGGTGTTACATGTAGTTTGAATGACTGGTATTGTGCTGTGTACGATGTACCTTGTAATGTTGGATTCGTGGGCGTGATAAATGTATTGAATGTGATTTGTGGGTGTACATGTAGTTTGAATGTGGATTGTGTGTGTACATGTAGTTTGAATGTGGATTGTGGGTGTACATGTAGTTTGAATGTGGATTGTGTGCATGTGTGTACATGTTACCTTGAATGTGGATGTGTGTTTTACATGTTACCTTTGAATGTGGATTGTGGGTGTACATGTACCTTGAATGTGGATTGTGGGTGTACATGTAGTTTGAATGTGGATTGTGTGTGTACATGTACCTTGAATGTGGATTGTGGGTGTACATGTAGTTTGAATGTGATTGTGGGTGTACATGTAGTTTGAATGTGGATGTGTGTGTACATGTAGTTTGAATGTGGATTGGTGTGTACATGTAGTTTGAATGTGGATTGTGGGTGTACATGTAGTTTGAATGTGGATTGTGTGTGTACATGTACCTTGAATGTGGATTGTGGGTGTACATGTAGTTTGAATGTGGATTGTGTGTGTACATGTAGTTTGAATGTGGATTGTGTGTGTACATGTAGTTTGAATGTGGATTGTGGGTGTACATGTATGTACCTAGAATGTGGATTGTGTGTTACACTGTAGTTTTGAATGAAGGACTTGTGCTGTGTACATGTACCTAGGAATGTGGATTGTGTGTGTACATGTAGTTTGAATGTGGATTGTGGGTGTACATGTATGTACCTAGAATGTGGATTGTGTGTGTACATGTAGTTTGAATGTGGATTGTGGGTGTACATGTAGTTTGAATGTGGATTGTGGGTGTACATGTATGTACCTTGAATGTGGATTGTGGCTCGTGTACATGGTGACGTTTAAATGTGGATTGTGTGCTGTACATTGTATGTACCGTGAATGTGGTTGTGGGTGTACATGTAGTTTGAAAGGTGCGTATTGCTGTGTGTACATGTAGTTCTGAAGTGGCATTGTATGTGTACATTGTTAGCTTGAATGTGGATTGTGTGATGTACATTGTAGTTTGAATCGCGGCGATTGTGTGAATGTACATGATAGCTTTGAATGTAGATGTGTGTGTACATGTAGTTTGAATGTGGATTGTGGTGTACATGTAGTTTGAATGTGGATTGTGGGTGTCATGTAGTTTGAATGTGGATTGTGGGCTGTAACATGCTAGTTTGAAGGTGGATTTGTGGCGTGTACATGTACTGTACTAGCAATGTGCGATTTGTCGTGTGTACATGTACAATTGAATGTGA